TATATATATATATATATATATATATATGCATATATATATCACTCCTCTCAAAAATTCGAGATAACCTCTTTTAGCTGACCCAGAGAAACAGGATGTGGGGTTTGAAAGCCCTTGACTCTGTGATCACAAAAATGTAAAAATTGAAATCAAAACATTATATCCAAGAAAATAATTAAACATTTAATTTTATTACTATCAACATCAATAGTGTAAATGACAGCATTCTAATTTTTGACATTTCTACAGCACATATAAACATAAAATTCTTTAAGCAACAGTCAAGACTTAATGTAAATATACATTCTGAATAAAAATTATGTTCACAGATTCTTTTACAAGTGCTTGCTGTTAAAATCAGTCATACACTTTTGAAGTTGAGACTCATATTCTGGGTGTGTCTTTTGGCGCCAGGTAGATTTTTGCTATGCTCAAAAATTTATTTTTAAACCTAAACACGATGTACTTAATTATAAATTTATAATCTGACAGGTTCTTCAAGCTCTCGGCAGTTGTTTGAGGCCCCTACAAGAGTGACAGCACAAGATCTTGCCCAAAGTCAGATCAATACAGGAATGTCCAACAATGGCATAAGAAAGCTAGCATCAACTCTTAGTCAAGTATCACAGGTTAAAGTCACTGAACCATACATTGACTCTAAGTTTCTTGAAATAGGAACCAATCTTTTCACATATTCAAAGCTAGCAGTCATGCAAGAGAAAGGGTCAAAAGTTGAAATGGCAACAACTATTCACTGTAAAGATTTTTCTGAACTGCTGGAGCACATCCTTTTAGAAAGAAAAATTTTTACTGATCACATTATCAAGCTTGGAATAGATGGGGGAGCTGGATTTCCAAAATTTTCTCTTGGGGTTGTAGAAACATTACAGCACTGCAAAGTTCGTTCTCTACCAAGCAAACGACTCCTGACAGTAAAGAGCTCCAAAGATAGTGGTTGCAATCAGCAACTTATTGTTGCTGTCTCTGAAGGAATGTCTGAAAACTATTCTAACCTCAAGAATGTTTTCTCCTTGATCAAAGCTGACTCAAAGAATTTTATGGTATCTTGTAACTTGACAGTTGCCAATATTCTATGTGGTCTTCAACCTCACGCTTCCATGTATCCATGCAAATGGTGCACAGCTCCTTTAACTAACCTTGCTGAATGTGGAGACCTACGAACTTTTGGTTCCCTCAAAGTCTCTTTTCAAGCATTTGCTTCTGCTGGCAGTGATGTAAAAAATGCCAAGAAATATGGGAATGTCATCCATAAACCTATTCTTCATGCAGATGAACTAGTCTGGTTTTGGAAATTATCCTTCCCATGGAGCTTCATCTTTTACTTGGAGTTGTTAACCACCTCTACAAAATTCTCAAAACAGTCTGGCCTCCAACTGATTAGTGGGTAACTGCTCTTCATATTAATCTTCAGCCTTACCATGGAGGCAATTTCATTGGCAATGATTGCCGCAAGCTTCTCAAAAATGTTGATTTTCTTCAACAGTTGGCCGAAGAGAAGGCAGCAGTTCATATTTTTCCATTTTATTGATGCTCTGAGAAAGTTTGATGCTGTGGTTATAGCCTGCTTTGGAAACGAACTGCAGCATGACTATGCACAAAAAATTGAACTTTTTAAGCAATCGTTTTTGACACTATCAGCAGGAAGTGTAACTCCAAAAGTTCATGCTGTGTTTTTTCACATCAAGAATTTATCTCAAGAAAAAACACTTCTTTGGGCATTTACAGTGAGCCAATCACTGAAGCTGTGCACCATCAATTTCAAACTGATTGACAAAGGTACAAGCGCCAAAAGACACACCCAGAATATGAGTCTCAACTTCAAAAGTGTATGACTGATTTTAACAGCAAGCACTTGTAAAAGAATCTGTGAACATAATTTTTATTCAGAATGTATATTTACATTAAGTCTTGACTGTTGCTTAAAGAATTTTATGTTTATATGTGCTGTAGAAATGTCAAAAATTGGAATGCTGTCATTTACACTATTGATGTTGATAGTAATAAAATTAAATGTTTAATTATTTTCTTGGATATAATGTTTTGATTTCAACTTTTACATTTTTGCGATCACAGAGTCAAGGGCTTTCAAACCCCACATCCTGTTTCTCTGGGTCAGCTAAAAGAGGTTATCTCGAATTTTTGAGAGGAGTGATATATATTATGGTGCATCAAATGTCTCTACTTTTGAAATAGGGGGCAATTGGTGCACCTATTCTTAAAACATTCGTACCTATTCTTAAAACATTCTCTTGGTTCTAACAAGCAATTTTGTTAAATTTCTTTAAAGTGTTACTGGATTTAGGGGGGCCACCTCGAGTCTGAAATTTGCAACGAAACCTTAAACGCCAAAATTTTTTTTACAAATGCATGTCATGTTTAGTCTAAAAAGAAGAAAAATTTTATATAAACTTCAAAAACAGTTCTTGTGAGAGCCAATAGAAAGTTTTAGAATAGGTATATATTCGTTTTTGAAAGTATGGGGCGTAACAAATATATACCTGGTGAACCAGCCATTATTGTAAATGGTGGAACTACAGTATCTGGTGGTAGAACAGTGTTGTCAGCAATTGCACAGCAATCTTTTAAAATACACCTGCGTCCCTAAACAAAATACCGCAAGATGAAACAAATGTAACAAAAAATATACAATACAATAAAAAAAACTTACAATAATACAATTCTTTCCAATATAAACAAAGGAACCAATCTGAGCAGCATTGATAATGGAATCCTCATCTATGAAAACATGATCACCAATATGTAGAGGAAAAAACGCACCACTAAAATAATTTTTATATTTTTTATATATTTTCATATAATATATGTTTTTTACTTGGTATATAAATTTACTTTTTTTTATGTGGTAGGTAAAAATTTATTAAGAATGATTTTAAGTAAAGAAGTCTTATATTTTTTTTAAATCTATGCAAGCTCTCTGTATCAGTCTTCTCCATTCAGATATTTTATGCCAACCCACTGATCGACTGTGCATGGTGTTATATGCTAATTAAACTTTGCTTTTATTTGCTCTTTAAATTAAAATGAAAACAGAGAAAAGAATTCTTTAAAAAATTCTAAATGAAATAAGTAAAAAAAAAGAAGGCAAAAAGAACACTTTGTTTAATTAACAAAAAGATAATAAAAATAAAAATATTAAACATAAAATATAAACATTAAACTAAAAAATTAAAATATAAACGAAAGTACAAATAATTTATTTCAATTCTAAATAGAATAATTAAAATAAAAAAGGAGATTTTTTATTTAAAGTTCTTATTTAAATAATTATAATAAAAATAGCAAAATAAAAAAGCAAATACAAAAAAAAAAATACAAAATTTACTTAAATTCTAAATACTGTACAATGGTTACATTAAAAACAGCAAAACAAACATTTTGCTTAAATTCTAAATAAAATAATTTATACATAAATGTGTTACCATGATTTTTCCTAAAATTATTGCTGAACAAAAAAGATTTAAAAACAAAAAACGTTTTTATTTTTTGGCAAGCAGTTTTTTTATGATCTTGCCAAAAATTTAGTAGGCAAGTAGACAAGATCGAAAAGGTTTGAACATGAAAAGCGATGATGTGTGATGGTTGGACGTTGGCTACAAGAGCAGGCCCAACTATGTTTACAATGCGTTTTTTCACATTGTCTAAAAGAGAAAGGGCATCATTGGAAGATCTGACCCAGATATGGCAACAGTATTCTATACAAGGACGGATTTTAGATTTATAAAGATAAAGAATAAAATCTGGAATAAGAAAGTGTCGAGCACGATAAAGAGCAAGATAAAGAGATACAAAATTAGCTGAGGCTAATTTTGCAATGGATTCAATATATGGTTTTCAAGAAAGATCCAAAGTAAGAATTAATCCTAAAAGATGAAGGGTAGATGACTCGCCGAGTACTTCATTGTTCATAAATATAAGAAGATCTAGATTATTGCAATAACGATTAGCTGAAAATTTGAAAAAATGAGTTTTTTTGAGTTAAAGCTCACCAGCCACTGTGAGCCCCGTAACAGAAGTGAGATCCTTTACAAGCCCAAATGCCCCCTCCAAACAATCAGAGAGAGAGAGTTGGTTTCTTATCAAGACAAGAATAAATGGTAGTATCATCAGCGAACAATACCACCTTAGATGTTAGATTTTCTGGGGGATCATTAATGTAAATTAAAAAGGGTATAGGGCTAGGTATAGAACCTTGATGAACCCCTGAAGTAACAGGATATGAAGAAGAGTGCTGTTCATCGAAGACAACTTTTACACTACAAATGGTACGCCAGGATTCAATAATCTTAAAGATGTTACACTGTAAGATTGATACATTTATATTATATTGATACTTGATACACTGTAAGAAGAAAGCTTGTGGAGAATACCAACATACCAAACTTTATGAAAGGCTTTAGAAAAGTCGAGAGTGATAGCCTTAACCTCTTCACTATCTAATGCACAACAAAACCTACCGTTTATTACCGTTAACAAATCAGCAGTAGAGCAAAAAGATCGAAATCCATATTGATTTTCAGAAAGTAAGTTATTAGATTCAAGATGAGCGATAAAGTGTTTGTTATTTATAGACCTTGCTTATGATAGTAAGAAGACTAATCGGACGGTAGTTAGACAAGTCAGATGGGTCTCCAGAATTTTTAAAAATAAGGATAACAGATGCTGCTTTCCAGCAGGCTGGAAAACAAGACTCTGATAAGCTCTTGTTAAGTAGTTTTGAAAGTATAGACAACAAATCAGCAGTAGAGCTCTGAAGAACATTTCTGCAAGATTATAACAGGTATGCTGTCTGGACCAGCATACCTGTACAGGCAGTAGAAGAGTCTAAGCAGGAAAGCACTTTAGATACAGAAACTGGAGTGATATGAATGTCAAGCAATACATCAACCGGTTTGTTGGCTATATCAGGTAGATTACGACTAGTGAAATTAAAAGATGATATTGATGAGAAGTTCTTAGCAAACAATAAAGCTTTGTCTTTAGGTGAGGTGGCCTTACAAGAGAGATGGAGTAACAGATTTTCCCTTATTATAGATACTGTTAATGATTCTCCATTATTATTTTTATAGATACTGTTAATGATTCTCCAGAAGTCACAGGAGCATAATTTTTTAGATAAATTACGAGATTTTGTGGCCTGAGAACAGCGGGCTTTGGCTTTAGACAAAACCTTTATACAATGGTTTCTAGCAGTAGTAAATAGACATCTAGTTGTAAGAGGTATAATGACTGCAGATTACTGATGATGAAGAAGAATGAAATAATAGTTTTAAAAAGATCAAAACATGGTCAGAATCACCTTAGAGTGAATGTGGAGAAACTGAGCTCTGACTAGGATCAAAAACAAGAAATAAGTCAAGTAGAGAAGGTAAATGATTCGGATTGTCTGAAAACCGAGTTAGAAAGTTGATAATTTGTGTTAGAGATTGAGAAAGGCAAAAGTTGTGGACCTTAATGCCTGCAGAGTCACTGACACTAGAGCCAAGCTATATAGTGTGATGAGCATTAACAGGCTTTCACAGGAAGGCGTGCAATCACAAGTGTGTTTATATGACCTCGCAAAAAATATGTTTTAACAATTTGACCACAGCTTTTGAAATATTTTCAAAATTTAGAAATGGGGTACAAAAACTTACCTAAACTTATACAAAAAAAAAAAAATTGTAAAAAGAAAAAAAATCTTAATGAAAGAGAAAATAAAAAAAATACTTAGTTAAAGCAAAAACACAAAAAAATAAATATATATATAACCCAACTAAAACAAAACTCATCAAACTAAAATGCTTAGCCTATTTAATTTACGCATTAAAAAACCATTTCAATCTTTGTTTTAAGATTTGTACTTTTTTTATTATATTTAATATGTTTTTACATTTCTCATAAAAAATGCATAATTACATAAATAAAAAGAACAACAGCTTATTAATACTTATTTTAAAAATTAATAAGAAGTATTTTGTTACTTCATTGAAAAGCGTTTCAATAATATAAAAGCATTAAAGATCTAACTTATTTAATTGTAACGACTTTCTAAAGCTTTTTTTTTCAACGAAATTTTGTTTATCTTTTTAAATATATTAACTTTAATTATTCTTATACTAAAATTCGTTAAAGAGACTTTCATAGTCGTAAAATGTCATTGTTTATAAAAACAAAACATTTTTTTATTCTTTAATAATATTTATTATAGAAATGCACATTTAAACAATTTATATATTATAAATTAAAAAAATATATACAACTGTCAATTATATATTTTTTTAAAAATCATTATCAGTAAATTGTTACTTTATTTAAAAGTGTTTCGCTAATATAAAAACATTTGTTAAGAAGTTTATGTAATTAATTCACTTTAGAATATTTTTCATTTGGTGCGTTTTTAAAATGTTTTTTGAATTAGCTCCGGTCAAATCATCATAGCAAAATGTAATTTGCCTGGTCATATAAAGATATGCGATTGCACACCTTCCTGTGAAAGCCTGATTAAGTCACCAACAACAACAATTTTGGCTGGAGGATAAAGAGAAATGAGTTGGTCAATTCGATCAGAAATAAAACCGAAAAGAGTGAAGTCTTGAGTTGAAGGAGAATAAAATAGAACAAAGAAAAAGACAATAGAGTAAAATGGTGCTAAACAAAAGCACATAAAAGATTAGTCTGTAGATTCAAACCTAGTTTTCCTACAAACAGGTGAATTCTTATGAATGTAAATGCCCAGGCCAAGCATGTTATATATATGTGAATGATAGATTTAGGGAACTTGGTGATAACGATAGTTTTTTGTGTTTTATAGTTTTCGGTACTTAAGTCATTTTATGCAGGCCTTGACTTTTCGTTCTTTAGTCAGGCCTCAGCATACAGGCCTCAGCAGGAACCTCAGGCCTCAGCAGGCAACCATGCGTGCCCACAACAAAGAACTATAAAGATTTAATAGTTTTAACAAGCGATTTAATTTTTGAGTTTTCAATTAAAATTGAAAACTTTTTGAAAATAAATTTAACCTACGCAAACTATTTATTCTAAAAATGAAAGAACTTTTTAACAGACAATATTCTTATGGTTGTGTAATTTATATACTAAGTTAAAAAATTTACCATGTAAAAAATGACTTAATTAAAGCGAAAATAATAGATACACAAATTATTTAACAACTTAAATTTAATTTTTTAAACAGTTATAAAAATATGTTCATTCAAATTAGAATTACATAACGTCAAAACAATCTTAAAAGTATCAAACTCAATCATTCAAGTTTTAACTACTGTAGTCTTTGCTTATAATTTTCTCTTGCTCTCTCTCTACCTTGGAGCCATTTCGGTGCATTTTTTAACCTTTTCAAATTAGAAAAAATATTTCACATAGAAGAGTTACGAATAAACTTTTTATATAAAAAATAAGAAGAAAAATTTTAATCAAAACAATTGTTAAACAAAATAATATTTATAAAATAATCAATCATTTTAATAAAAAAGGAATCTAAATATATACTAAAATAGAATTCGAAAAATTTGGTTAAATGCAACATTTTTTTGACAATTTTTCTGGAAAATTCTTGAACAAGTTTTTTATCAGAAAATAACTATTGCTGGCGATTGTTTCTCTGATGTTATACGATATGATAAAAAACACTACAGTGTAAATAACAAATGCCAGTAAAAAAAAAAGCCAAATCCATCTTAGACAGATGTTTTACCACCCTTGTACAAATCATTTACAACTGCCAAGGCCTGCATGTGTGTGTGTGTGTATATATATATATATA